CAGGATTAGAACTCACAATCTCCTGGTGATTGGTCCAAAGTCACCCAGCTGCCTTTCATGCCTAAGGGAGACTAGAACTCATAGTCTCTTGATGATCGGCCCAAAGTCACCCAACTGGCTTTCAGGCCTAAGGTGGGACTAGAACTCACAGTCTCCTGGGGGATAGGTCCAAAGTCACCTAGCAGGGTTTCAGATCTAAGGAGGAACTAGAACTCACAGTCTCCTAGTGTTTGACCCAAAGGCACCCAGGCTTTCATGCCAAGGCAAGATTAAAACTCACAGTTTCTTGGTTTCTAACCCAGTGCCTTATTCTCTAACACTTCTCTTTATCCCAAGCAAAAGGCTGTAGGAAAGAGGTGGTTGAGTTCTGACCTGATTTTTTTGCAGATGATTTTTTAAAAGTGGCTGAGGCTATAATACCCAAGGATCTGAGGCCTTAGTGACCATCATGGTCCTGTCCAATTGGCCAGGCTTTGGTGGCTATGGAACTGCACACCTGAAAGGGCAGGTGAACTCACTTCTCTCTTGAAGACCCACAACACCTGAAGCAGAGGTGGTATTCAGCAGGTTCTGACCAGTTCTGGAGAATCAGTAGCGTAAATTTTGAGTCGTTCAGACAACCAGCAAATACCAACTCTGACTCCAGATTTTACAGTATCCTTCCCCTGCCACACCCACCAACCCACGCCCACATAACCGTTAGTAAAAAAGAAATTGAATCCCACCATTGACCTGAAGCATTAAAGATATGTGTGGTCCAGCAATTGCATAATGAAAATGTGATCATGGGGGCATTGTTTGGATGCTCCAATATAAATGAATAAAGTAGAAATTGATGGAGGAGAACGTGACAGGCCTAAGGTCACCCAGCCAGCTTTCAGGCCTAAGGCAGGACTAGAACTCACAGTCTTCTGGTGATTGGCCCAAAATCAACTGGATTTTTAACAAAAAGCAAGTCGGTTAATAGGATAGACTACTGCAGATTTGGAAGGAGTTACTGTTGTTGTTTTTTTACATCACTCTGCAATTGGACATTGACAATTTGAAGCGGGCACGAAAGCAGAACCTGCCCAGGACAGGTTACAAAATAAAATGGGAAGACAACAGAAAAAAAGGGGAAGTGGCAAAATAGATGCACAGGAAGGAAATGGCATTAGCAAAACTGACAAAGAATGAAAGAATTACTTCAGGGATGTACCCTTAGGATTACTCACTAGAAAGAGAATGGGTTGGTTGTTACCAGGGAAAGAATGCAGATTTTCATTCATTTCTTGATATTTAGCTACCTCCTGATATTCTAATTCACCATATAATTCAGGGGTGGGCAAACTACGGCCCGCGGGCCACATCCAGCCCATTGGTCTTTTTAATCCAGCCCGCCGAAGATTGGTACAGAATTAAGGTTTGATGTGAATGATTGAATGATTGCATTCATTTGATTTTGACTTGTAATGACAGGCATTTCGACACCAGGTGGCGGCCCGTCTGTCAAATTTTAAAAGTCAATGAGGCCCCCGAGCCAAAAAGTTTGCCCACCCCTGATATAATTCCTAATTTATTCAGGAGCATTTAAACATGCAGAACGTCATCCTAACCTGAAAGTGGTTCAGTTCAGCCCAACCCAACCCATGCCCCCTTATCCTTTTGGTATGGCTCAGCACGATTCTTTATACTTACCATGTGATTGACACTGGTGAAGGGGGTATTGTCCGTAATGGTTTCAAAAGGGGACCTGGCTCCATTTCCATCCGTGGGGGTAGCCACTTCCCAGCTGAACTGGATGGAGGACTGGTTGATCCCAGCTTCACTGCATCGCTCCTTCATCACCGAGTACTTGGGGAAGTGAGAATCGCAAGGGGTAACACAGACCAGGGGGTAGCCGGGAGACGGCGACTTCTTAGCTCCTGTTGTGGTTTCCTCTTCAACGTGGTCGTACTCCGACAGCGTAACCACCTGCAGGGACAATGTAGGCAAAGCAACAAAGGTGATTGGAGGGACTGGAGGCTAAAATATAGGAAGAACAATGGCTGGAATTGGGTATGTCTGGTTTGATGAAAAAAAGGACTAGAAGTGACTTGACAGACAGATTTGACAGATAATCAGAGTTGGAAGGGACCTTGTAGGTCATCTAGTCCAACCCCCTGGCCAAGCAGGAGACCCTGTAACATTTCTGACAGATGGCAGCCCAGTCTCTTCTTGAAAGCCTCCAGTGATGAAGCTGCCACAACTTCCAAAAGGCAACTTCTGTTCCATGGGTTGATTGTTCTCAGTGTCAGTAAATTCCTCCTTATTTCCAGGTTGAATCTCTCCTTGTTCAGTTTCCATCCATTGTTCCTTGTCTGGCCTTCAGGTGCTTTGGAAAATAGTTTGAACCCTTCCTCTCTGTGGCAGCCCCTCAAATATTGGAACACTGCTATCATGTCTCCCTTGGTCCTTCTCTTCGCTAGACTAGCCAGGCCCAGTTCCTGCAACCGTTCATCGCATGTTTTAGTCTCCAGTCCCCTCATCATCCTGGTTGCTCTTCTCTGCACTTTTAGAGTCTCAACATCTTTGATAGCAATGGTCCAATATCTCAGGGGTTGCCACAAAGAAGAGGGAGTCAAACTCTTCTCCAAAACACCTGAGGGCAGGACTTTTTTTTTGGAGATGTTTGTTAAGTGAATTTTGCCCCATTTTACGACCATTCTTGTCACAATCAGTAAGTGAATCACTGCAGTTGATAAGTTAGTCACACGGTAGTTTGGTGAAACTGGCTTCCCCGTGGACTTTCCAGGCCAGAAGATCGTACAAGGGGATCACATGACTCCAGGACATTGCAACCGTCATACATAGGAATCAGTTGCCAAGTGGCTGAATTTTGATCACGTATCCATAAGTGTGGTCGTAAGTGTGAAAAACGATTAAGAATCAGGTTTTTTTTTCAGTGCTGTTGAAACTTCAAATGGTCACTAAATGAAGTGTTGTAAAGCAGGGACTCCCTGTGGTGTTTTGATATCTCCATCAGATGCATCGAACTGTGGAAATGTGATGACCCAGAGTGTAACACAAACGTAACAAAATCCAAAAGGTAAAATAAATGTCCTTTAATGCCTCCAACTTGGCCCCACTGTTCAATAATTCTCAGTTGGAGATAAAACGTATTCAAAAATAGTCTTCAAAAGAAAGCAATACAGTCCGAACTTAATGAGCAGATAGAGGTGAAATAAAAAAACCAAAACAAACTACAATGAAGGAAATTCCACAACGGACCAGGATAAGTAATTACCAAATTCACGGAGATAACAAGGCACAGTCTGTTGGAAGGATGCCAACCAGGATAACTTCAGCCCAAAATAAAACATGCTTTGCTTCTAGCAACCCTGTGTTTTAACCATCTCTCTTATATACTATTCTCCCCAGCTGCAACCAATGACGGGGATCATGGCCACTTCCTCTCTCATAAGCCAAGCTGTTGCCTTCTCCGTTCCTCTATGCATGACCTAGGATGCAGAGGGAATGGGCCTGATTCTTCCTCTGACTGCTCAGCCGGCCTCTGCCCTTCCCCAGCCTCCTCCACAACCTCCGGAGCCTCACTTCCACTCCCTGTCGGCTGTTCCTCCTCTCCCTCAGAGTCCGACTGTAACAAGGGCATGACAGGAAATGGACTCAGACTTTCCACGGAATAGTAATTCCCACCATTCAACTCCCACATTTTAGCTTGGGTCACTACGGGCAGTACAAATATAGAGAGCGGTGACTCTCAACCTTAAGTCCACACTTCTTGAAGTTATCAAGAAGGATTTGAGTACAGGGCCTTGAAGTGACTCCACTGTAGAGTTGTAATTGCAGGAATGTTCCTATCTGATGGCAAACCTCAAAGAGAAAAGAATGGTTCCAAGCAGATACAACTCAGGCAAATAAAGTTACTCATCTAAAGGAGGATTAGAGAGAGGAAGTAAACATATATTGGACTTTGACTAGAGATCATTAATTGTGTTAGTTACTATGCTGAACAATAACGAAAGTCAAGCAGAAACCAAAGTTAACCAATGTTAGAGGATTACTAAAAATGTGTATAAATGCAAGACTAGATTCCAATAAAGATCATCATGAATCAGTTGATCGTGATCAAACACTTCGACTGCCTCATCATTGCAACAAGTGGCGCATGAACAGGGACCCTCTTACTTCGTCCGGCAAGGATTTGGTGCACCTTCAACCCTTTGGGGTTTGTCAACCATTATTGGTTTCTGTAAGTATGGGGTCTTCGCTTTCTGAGGAACAAAGGAAGCGTGTAGATGAATTAGGCTATTTGTTGAAGAAAAATAATACTCAGGTACCAGAGAAAAATCTCTTAAGGCTGGTCCAGGAGATTGCAGCTCAGTGCTTATGGTATCCAGAAGAGGGGTCTTTAAAATTAACTGATTGGGAACGTATAGGGAAAACATTGCATACTGAACCTAGAGCAGAAATAGAAGTTTTGCAGGTGTGGCATTTATGTAGGCATGCAGTTGAAAAATTTGGTCACAATGAACTTTCTCTTTTAACACCTCCACCTCCACCTTCACGTTATACTAATGCTGTCATTTGTCCTCCTTCTTCACCTGAATATATGTCTTCCATTCCCTCAGCTCCTGCAGATACAGGGCAAAAGCCTCCTGACTCTATTGTTCAGTCTTCTTTTCAGAAAATAGTTGAGAAAAAAGATGCCTCTGTCTCAGGAACAGAACTTGCAGAATTACTGTCTGTTTGTCTAGTACAATATCATCCTGGTCAGGGGCCACAGCTTGGACTGCAAGTAGCAGAATGTGAGGGTCTGCCTTATCAGATCTTAAGAGAGTTAAAAAAGGAAGTTACAGACTATGGGATTAGTGGAAATTTTACAAGAGGACTTGTAGAAGGAATAAAAAATGGTTATACAATGATTCCTGAAGATTGGAAGCAAATATTACCTGACTGCTCCAGCAGTCTCTCTCACTCCTCCCCAGCCACAGCTGGTAGTGCTGGGATTGATTTAATCACTCAAGAGGAAAGTGAGTTTAAATTTCCTTTGGAAGTTAAAATAGTTCCATCTCAATTTAAAGGACCTCTTCCTTCAGGATTAGTTGGCTTAATTTTGCCTCGTTCTTCTGCACACAAAAAGGGCTGTTTTGTTGTGCCTGGTGTAATAGATTCAGATTACACTGGTATCCTCATGATTCAGATTTGGGTGAATCTTCCTCAAGTTCTTCCTTGTAATTCTTCTGTTGCTCAATTGTTTCTTCTTCTATATGAAAATCTATATCCTGGTATAGGTAATCGTGTGGATGCAGGATTTGGATCAACTTCTTTATCTGTAGGCTTACTTCGTCAGCTGAATTCCTCTCTCTTCCTAAATAAACAACCATTTCAAGGGTTTTGGATACTGGAGCAAATGTTACTGTCATCTCCTCTTTACAATGGCCAGTACAGTGGCAAAAATGACAGTTTCTTCATTGTGGGGAATAGGAGGTTCTACAGCTGCTTGGCAGAGTGTTCAAGAAATTAATGTTACAAAATCTGCTGGTAAGTCTTTTTTTCCTACAACCATACATTCTAGATATTCATACTAATATTTGGAGCCATGATATCCTTTCTCTTCTTAATGCTCATTTGATTCTTGATGATGGCTCTTCCTCTTAAATGGCTCTGTTCTACGCCAGTTTGGGTGGAACAATGGCCATTATCAAAGGAAAAACTTACTGCTTTACAACAATTGGTTCAAGAACAATATAGAACCTTCTACTTGTCTTTGGAATACTCCTGTTTTTGTTATAAAAAAGAAAAATGGGAAATGGCATTTCCTTCATGATTTAAGAGAAGTTTTTAATAATAGCATGCCCACAAAACGATATCATTGGTGTGTGTTGCCTCAGGGAATGCTTAATTCCACTACACTTTGTCAATATTTCGTGGATAATGCTCTTCAACCCTTTAGGAATAAATTTCCTTCCTATTTAGTCTATCATTATATGGATGATATATTGATAGCAGCCCCAGATTTTGATGAATCTAAGTTGTTAAAAGAGTTAACAGACACTGTTGCACAACAGGGGTTGTACATAGCCTCAGACAAAATTCAAAAGGTAGAACCTTATACCTACTTAGGACATAGAATGTTGCATAATTGCTCCATTCCAATTCTTCCTGAATTACAAGTACAGAAATCATATACCTTAGTACAATGGCAAAAATTACTTGGCATTATTAATTGGGCATGCTCATTCTTCTACATTACAACTGGTGATATGTTGCCCTTATTTCAGTCTTTGAAGGGAGCACAATCACCAGGAGATCTAATTGTATTAACTGATCTTCAAAGAAAATGCCTTCAAGAAATATTGAATAAGTTTAAGCATCGATATGTGGACAGGATAACATCCTTAACAATAGGACTTTGTTTAGCTATTCTTCCTACTGCACCCTTACCCACAGGATGTCTTTATTCTAATGCCTCTCCACAGGCAGTTAACATTCATGAATGGATTAATTTGTCTGCTACTCTGCCTAGAAACATTTACCCCTATCAGACAGCATTAGAGGATTTGATTATTAAAGGTCGTAAAAGAGCCTTACATCTTACAGGACAGGATCTCATTAGTATAGCTTTCACTCGTACAAAAGTTGAACATGAGCATTTGATGATGATTTCAGAATCATATCAGATAGCCTTTTCTCAATATGTGGGAGACTTATTGTATTCTTTACCCAAGGATCCTAGAATAGTGGTTACTACTACTTTAAATCCAGCCTTTTCTTCCATTTTTGTGCAAAATCCTATTTCTAAAGCTCTTAAAGTTTTTTACTGATGGCTCACCTACAAGGGGTGTGGTCGTCTGGCAGATTCAACAACAATGGTATTCTAAATTTACTGCCACACAGACTTCAGCTCAATGTGCTGAGCTGGCTGCTGTGATTTTAGCTTTACAATTGTTCAATGACCAACCTATTAACTTGATTGTTGATACTCAATATGTGTATTTAGCTATGCAATCTCTGCATTTTTCTTATTGTTGTCTCTCTTTGGATAAGAATTTGTTATCCTTGTTTTTATCTTTAAAGAATAGTTTGGAAACTCACTTGTATTCTTTGTATGTAGAACACATTCGGAGTCATACTCCTTTTACTAATGCCTTGACTGAAGGAAATCAGAAGGCAGATGAATCCTTAAAGGATGTTATTTCTCCTTGCCTATCCTATTTTGCTGTAATGGGTCAGCCTTCTCAGTTGAAAACTGACAAGGGCCTCGCTTATATTAGTAAGGAATTTCAAACCTTTTGTCAGAAATGGAATATTACTTTAGTGCATGGAATTCCTTACAACTTTCAGGGTCAAGCTATAGTTGAGCGAGCTCATCGTACTTTTAAGGCATTGCTTCAAAAACAATTACAAACTGAGTTTGGCCCTAACCATCTGCGAAAGATTCAAAATCTCATTGCTGTAGCATTATATACTTGGAATTATTTAACCTTTTTAGATTATCTTGCAGACTCACCTGTTAATTTGCATTTTCGAACTACTGAATCTTTAGCAAGGCCTTTGGTAAAGTATCGCCAAGCTCCAGATTCAACCTGGAAAGGCCCTACATCGCTGATCACCTGGGGTTGTGGTTACACTGCCATGGAAGATCTTTCTACTAGACAAGCAGTGTGGGTTCCAGCACGCTGTGTTCGTCCATATCATGGCATGGCATCAGGGCCTTCACAACCTGATTCCGGATTTCAATCTTCATCTGAACACAGAAGTTCGGCTTCCAAGGTTGAAGCGCCCGCAATCCATCACTTGGGGCCAGGTTAAATCTACTACATATCAAGCTCAACAACAACTGCAACAGGCCTCATTACCTCAGACTCCTGAAAATCTTGTTGCTGCTGTTTTTGCTATTATTACTGCTAACTCTGTTACAATTTTACTTTGTATTTTCTTGTTTATGGTTAATGGTGTTTCTGCTCAAAATGACACTTCTGTGGTTCGTCTTAACCCTAATTTGTGGGTTTGTCATACCCAATATATGTTTATGACCCATGGCACAAATATTACTTTATACTATGAGCCTCCAATGGCATTTGGTCAAATTTCTTTTACCCCTAACTTGATCATGTCTTCTACATTTATTGTCTCACAACTACAATCTATTTCACACTCCTGGCTATTTTCTAAACCCCCTATGCAATTGATTTCTGTCCGTTGGCGTTATTTGAAAGTTAGCCAATTTACAAGGGGTCTGTGTTTCTGTTGTCACGCTAAACACACTTGGCTTCATAATTGGTCTGATTATGATGCTGCTCAGCACATATTAAAAAAGCTGGGGAATTATAGTTATTGTTCTAACTACTATTGGTTGTCAGGTACCTTTAATTCTTCTTTGTATGGACTTAATATAGCTCCTGATATGTATCCTGATAATTTTCCTATTTTTAATGTGATTCTTTTTTGATAAATATGCTACCAATGTTCATCCTCAGAATTTTTCATTCCTTGAATAAAACTATTGAGGATGAGCTTGCCAATTTACAATCATACATTCAAAATAATATCCATGCTCAGTACTCACCTTTTGAGTGGCTAACCAATTGGCTCCCTGATTGGTCCTGGCTCAGACAGTTTTTCCTTTATGTTATTATTATTATTATTGTATTAATTGTAACCTGTTGTTTTATTCAATGTATTCCAAATTTATTTGCATTGTTTTGACCTGCTTTCCCCTCTCTTAATCCTCTACAATTGCGATACATTCATAAATCTTTGAATCCTCCATTTAAAATAAAAAACGAGGATATGTAGAGTTGTAATTGCAGGAATGTTCCTATCTGATGGCAAACCTCAAGAGAAAAGAATGGTTCCAAGCAGATACAACTCAGGCAAATAAAGTTACTCATCTAAAGGAGGATTAGAGAGAGGAAGTAAACATATATTGGACTTTGACTAGAGATCATTAATTGTGTTAGTTACTATGCTGAACAATAACGAAAGTCAAGCAGAAACCAAAGTTAACCAATGTTAGAGGATTACTAAAAATGTGTATAAATGCAAGACTAGATTCCAATAAAGATCATCATGAATCAGTTGATCATGATCAAACACCTCGACTGCCTCATCATTGCAACACTCCACATTTTAGAAGAATATGAAGGACTATAATTCTCAGCCTTCCACCCCACCGCTTGTCTGGCACTTCAGGAGAATTATGGTTCAATAGTATCTGAAAGCCACCTGCCTTCACTCCTGATTTAAGGTTTTAGAGGAGTTGATGAATTCAGATAATTCTAAATTAACGCTGTGTGTAAAACAAACAGAATTAAACCACCGAACCGCCAAGGACCAAGTCCTAGTTACCAGCCCATTGCCTGTACCAGTGGGTTTTTATTTACACAGATTTTTTTTTTGATTTACAGAGCAAAAATTATGACAAATCCTCACAAAGTGCTGGATGAAACCCTATTTATCATCTGCACGCACAGGCCAGCCTTTATTTATTTAATTTGGGGGGCTTTAAATCAATCCCGGTGACTGCTTGGATGCAGTTTTTGCGGCAAGATTTTTCAGGAGTGGTTTGCCAGTGCCGCCTTCCCGGCACTGATTGAAAGAGATGGACCGGCCCAAAGTCACCCAGTTGGGTTTCGTGCGGTGGTGGTATTCAGCCGGTTCACACCGGATCGAGCGACCAGTACAAGGAATTGGCATGGGTCGTCAAACCGGTAGTAAGTTCTGGCTTGCCACGTCCCCAACCCGGTCGCCCCGGATCGCTTGCCCCACCCGCCTGACGCTCGCCCCTTGAGGTATTTCTTTCTTTCTTTCTTTTCCCTCCTGACAAACAGCTGTTCATACGATCAGCTGTGCCGGGATTCCCCTTGCTGAAGCCCAGGAAGGCAAAAAAATGGAGGGAGGGGCTCAGCCCCCCCTTTATTTTTTTACCTTCCTGAGCCCCAGAGGAGCCTCCTGGGAGCAAGAACGCCCCCTAGAGGCTCCTCTGAGGCCCAGAAGGCCCCCAAAACGGGTGAAGGGGTGGTTGCAAAAAAAAGCACCACCCAGTCACATGGCCATGCCCACCTAGCCACACCCACCAAGCCAGGCCCACAGAAATTTTTTTTGAATCCCACCACTGGTTTCATGGCTAAGGCAGAACTAGAACTCACAGTCTCCTGGTGATTGGCTCAGAGTCACCCAGCTGGCTTTCATGCCTAAGGTGGAACTACAGTTGACGGTCTCTTTTCGATTGGCCCAAAGTCAACAAGCTTGTTTCACGCCTAATGCTAGAACTCACAGGCACCTGGTTTCTAGTCTGCTGCCATGAGCATTACATCAAATCTCTATGCCAGATTTGGGTCACTCCATAAAAAAAGCACTCTTGGAATCAACCCTTAGTTCATCATTTGAGTTAATGTTTCTTACTATAGGAGGAGCTGGTAAAATGAGGCTTCCGGCTGCCTCTTGGTCCAAGATGGTCACAATTGTGGTAGTGAGATCCCCCAAAACAGCTTCAATGGGATCATCTGGACCCAAGACCAGAGAAAAGGATTCGTGCCACTCCCGGTCTTCATTGGACATGATCTCCACCTTAAAGAAAACATGGTCCATACCTGTGGGAAAAAACATGAATCTAAGCAAGTTATCATTCGACAGGACCTTAAATGCACCCATGAGGCATCTATCTATCTATCTATCTATCTATCTATCTATCTATCTATCTATCTATCTATCTATCTATCTTCCATCCATCCATCCATCTATCCATCCATATCTATCTATCTATCTATCTATCTATCTATCTATCTATCTATCTATCTATCTATCTATCTTCCATCTATCATCCATCCATCCATCCATCTGTATCTATCTATATCAATCTATCTGTCTATCTTTCTATCATCCATCATCCATATCTATCTATCTATCTATCTATCTATCTATCTATCTATCTATCTATCTATCTATCTATCTATCTATCTATCTATCTATCTTCCATCTATCATCCATCTATCCATCCATCTGTATCTATCTATCTATCTATCTATCTATCTATCTATCTATCTATCTATCCATCCATCCATCCATCCATCCATCTGTATCTATCTATATCAATCTGTCTATCTTTCCATCATCCATCCATCCATCCATATCTATCAATCTATCAATCTATCTATCTATCTATCTATCTATCTATCTATCTATCTATCTATC